TCACTAATGAATATATAACTCCGTATGCGGAGTTAATAAAGCGTTTTATTACTTCCTATTAGTAACACTTCATATATGTGTCTTTTTTATACCCTAGTAAATGTATACATATATACATACATATATACATATATACATATATATATATATATATATATATATATTATATATCCATATATATATATATATATATATATATATATATATGGTGTGTATGTATATATACATTATCATCCCCTTTGTGACGTGTATTCCGAGGGCGGTTTTACACTACGGTCGATTTTGTAATTTCATTTGTAGCACTGAAGGCAAAAGGCAAAACTTGCTACACTAAAACCCCGTTAAAACGATTTTCCAGAGTATAAAACACCTGTCTTAAACGAGAAATCAACTTTTTGTATGCCTCTAATATTTTAGAATGTTACTTCAACCTTAGTATGTTACCCAGCTTTACAAGAATCGTAAAAACAATATTACGATTTAAAATGTCGATTCTTAATGTAATTTTAATAAATAGTTACTTATGATTTATTAATATTAATTTTATTTTTTTTATGTTCTAGGTTCAAGAACAGAGTGGCTTGTTGGTGTTTGTTTTCCACAATTAGGAAACAAGTGAGTTTTAATTTTATTATCTTTATATTAGTTTTATAATTAATTAATAATTAATAAATCTTGGCAAGCGTTGTTAAAAACAGAATTGAAGGGATTTTAAATAAAAATCACAGGGCCAACGATTTAATAAAGTAAATTATGATGTATTTATGCCTTTATTTATTATATCTCTTGTATCTTATAAAGAATTTGATTTATATTGATGATGTGTAAGACAAATTCGTACAAAATTAAATAGTCTACAATATTGTCTAACACCATAAGGCTTTACAATAACTAGTTATATTCTAAAAGTACATTTGAAAACGTGTAAATAAATTCAAACCAAAAAATTTTCAACCCCTAATGAACTTTGGTAAAAGTGCATTTAAATAACTTTAAAACAATTTATGGAATTTAAGTAATACATTAGGCAACTTTGTGCTGAATTAAATAACGCACAATATTGTCTAAGATTGTAAGATCCTACAACAACTTGGTATACTTTAAAACCACAATAAACAATAGAATCAGTCTTACAATGTGGTATACGGAACCCTATTGTTTTCCCAAGTCCGTCAGTTTGATATTTGAATTCAGTCTTTCGAGACCTTTCAAATGATACCCCACACGACACGTGTGACGTCACTACGTTTCGACCCTATGTTTGACCCATCGCACTGTATGTTACTCTTGTAACTTCTAAATGGCTTGTCCAATTTAAATGAAATATTTGACAAATTTGTAGAAAATTATATAATCTGAAACATTGTCTAACATCATAAAGCCATACAGCAACTTGGGATACTTTGATAATGTAAGCAACTTTGGAAATGTAAATTATCGTTGTAAAATTGTTCTCGGTACTATATTTTGATAGAGCTCATCGAGACCTTCCAAATGATACCCCACACGACTAATTTGACGTCACAACGTTTCGACCCTTTATTCGACCCATCATGGGTGCATTTATTTATTGAAAGTCTTGTAACTTCACTCGTAAAAAAATAGATGATTAAAAGGACTCTACTGACGAGCAATGCGATAAATTTATAAATTTACTATCAATTTGGCAAAAAATAGAACTCTACTGACGAGGAAATTTTTAAACAACCTAGAAATTAGGAAAGGACTCTACTGACGAGCAAAAGAAATATCAACCTAAATTATAGAAAAAGGGATTCTACTGACGAGCAAAAGAAATATCAACCTAAATTATAGAAAAAGGGATTCTACTGACGAGCAAAAGAAATATCAACCTAAATTATAAAAAAAGGGATTCTACTGACGAGCAAATTAAATAATAAACTAAATTATAGAAAAAAGGATTCTACTGACGAGCAAATTAAATACTGACCTAGGTGATAAAAAATGACTCTACTGACCAGCAAAAAAATATCTATAAAAGAGGACTCTACTGACGAGCAAATTAAATTTCAACTTAAAAGATAAATAAAGAAATCAAAAAGGTAAAAACGGGACTTTACTGGCGAGAAAATTAAATATTAATCAAAAAGATAAAAATGGATTCTACTGACAAACAAATTTAATATAAATATAGATGATGAAAAAGAACTCTACTGACGAGCAAATTAGTAACTAACCTAGAAGATAAAAAAGGACACAAGAAGAGGACTCTACTGACAATCAAACTGAATCACGATAAGAGATTAAAAAAAGAACTCTACTAGCAATCAAATTTATTAACAGTAACAAAGATGAGTAAACTGAAATTGGACAATGACAAAGGGACTGTACTGACAAGCAAACTAAGATTTTAGTTGTAAATACAAATTTGAAGTATTTGCTACATTTGGACTCTTAGAAAAGGAACACTACTGACAAGCAAGGTAATAATCACACTTTGCGGATCAGAGACATGGATTCTAAGAGAATAATTTCTACTATCGAGTGAACTGATTTATGGAAGAAATTAGCTTAAACATTGCTTTTTATATATGTATATATCAAAAAATCCAAAACACCTGTTTCAAGTGATTTATATATGCAATAAAAATACAGCATATATATATATATATATATATATATATATATATATATATATATTGATTGTTTCTTTTCCGAATATATATATATATATTTACATCCCACTTCTGCATATTTCATCAACCATCCCTCTATCCATCTATCTGTCTCTTTCAAATCCACCCCTAAACAATCTCATTCCGTCTCTTTCTAACACTATCTCTATCTCTATCTCTAATACTATCTCTTTCTCAAAAGCTATTTGTCTCTGTCTGGGCAATTTCATGTGCATGTTTAAGTCCATTCGTTTGTATGGGTAGGTGTATGGTAGGCGCCTAGAATGATTGATTGCTATAAAAGGGGCGCTTGTGAGGGCACTGGATGAACAGGGAAGGACAAATGAAGGTTCAAGGGCTGAAAAATAAGGGTTTGGTAAGGAACAACAGGTTTAGATGGCGTGATTGGTTTCGAAGTTTTATGGGAGTATTTTTGGGTTTCAAAAGCGTTTTTAGAGCATACAGAGTTGTTTTAGGGCTTTATGACGTAGGACAATGTTGTAGATTGTTTAATTTTACACAAATTTGTCGAAAACTGTAATGAAATCGGACGAACCGTTTAGAAGTTGCAAGACTTTTATTAAATAAATGCACCCATGATGGGTCGAATAAAGGTTCGAAACGTCGTGACGTCAAATTAGTCGTGTGGGGTATCATTTGAAAGGTCTCGACGAGCTCTATAACGATATAATACCGAGATCAATTTTACAACAACAATTTCCATTTTCACTGTATACCGAAATGCTGTAGGGCTTTATGATGTTAGACAATGTTGTAGATTATTTAATTTTAAATAAATTTGTCGAATATTGCATTAAAATCGGATATACCGTTTAGAAGTTACAAGACTTTTATTAAATAAATGCACTCATGATGTGTCGAATAAAGGGTCGAAACGTTCTCACGTCAAATATGTCGTGTGGGGATACTTGCTCGTCAGTAGTGTTTTTTTTTTAAGAGTCCAAATGTAGCAAATGTTTCAGGTTTTTATTTACAATTCGAATCTTAGTTTGCTCGTCAGTAGAGCCCCTTTGTCATTGTCAGATATCAGTTATGAGTAGAGTTCTATTTTAATCTTCTATGCTACTCATTAATTTTGTTGTCAGTAGGGTCCTAAATTTATTTTTTAGGTTACTTATTTATTTGCTCGTCAGAAGTGTCCTAATATGTTTTTTAAGGTTTTATATCTTCTAGATCCATATTGAATTTGCTCGTCAGTAGAGTCTTTTTTTACAATTAATGTCCAATTGCTCGTTAGAAGAATGCTCGTTTTTTTTCTTAGATTCAATTTGCTCGTCAGTAGCGTTCTCATATCGTTTTTGAAGTCGGTTGATGTCTAGAATCAGTGACCGATTTGGCCGCACAACAGACCAATGTTATGAAGCACTTTCCATATTAAATATTAACAAAAGCCATGCGGTTTCTGTGCAGTCAGACGTAGTTTTCAGGTAGTCAGATAGAAAATCTAACCTAGAAACATCATAAAATGATCTTAGATACCAGGGTATTTTTGACTCAGCTTCATAACATACGAGTGACGTTGCAGTTTATATGTAAAATGTACGGTAAATACATGACATTTTGATAGTATACAGTATGATTCAGTAGCATAGTGTATGCAAGTTGGAGCGTAAAATAGCCTTGCTATAACATTGATATGTTGTGAGGCAGAAGCGGTCCCTCAGTTTGCTTGGCGGTAGAATTCTATTCTATGTATATTTATTTATTTATGAACTTCCATTTGATACCTCACACGGCATATTTGACGTGAAACATTTCGACCCTTTATTCGACCCATCATACTGCATATACTTAGTCAAAGTCTTGTAACTTCTAAACGGTTTGTCCGATTTGAATGCAATATTTGACAAATTTGTTCAAAATTAAATAATCTAAAACTTTTCTGTATAACACAAGTTCCTAGAGCAACTCGGTATATTGTTTTGAAAAGCAGAACGACTTTCATACATAGTGTACGGAACCCTGTTGCTTTTACGAGTCTGTCAGTTTGATATTTGCATTCAGTTCGTCGCGACTTTTCATTTGATACCCCACACGACATATTTGACGTGAAACCTAACCTAGAAACCCCACAACGATCTTAGATAACAGAGTCTTTCTAACTCAGCTTCATAACATACGAGTGACGTTGCAGTTTATGTGTAAAACACTTGAATGCACAGCAAATACATCACATTTTGACAGTATTCATTATGATTCAGTAACATAGTATATGCAAGTTGGAGCGTAACATAGCCTTGCCATAACATTGGTCTATTGTCAGTTGTATATTTATTTATTTATTTGTTTAAATATCATTTATTTTATAAAGATAACAAAATTGTATTATTATTATTTTTCCAATCATGAATTTTGTTCCGCACTAAATTGGTTCACAGCCAAAGCGTGTTTTTCCGCATGGTAGGTCCTCAAAATATGGGACAAAATCGGCGAGGCTTCCGGATCGTTCAGCCACATATTAAGGGCTGCATGGCTGTCCAGCATCGATAAATAGGCCAGCAGCATTTTGGGATTCGATAGGCTCAATTGAACCTAAAAAGGATAAAGGATAATTGTAATAGTTTATATTGGATGATCTAGATGTTTTTTTTTTAAAGTTACTTGTGGTGATTCCATCAAGGCTGCCAAAACTGGTGATTCTGGACTTAGGCCTTCTCGTAGTTCGTAGAGGCTTCTGGTGCGTCCGCCAACCAGCCATTCGCAGGCTGCTGGGTGATTGTTACCTAAAATAATAGAAACTCGGTATACTTTAAAAATTCAAATTATTCTTGGTACTATATTGTTATAGAGCTCGTAGAGACCTTTCAAATGATACCCCACACGACTAATTTGACGCGAAACGTTTTGACCCTTTATTTGGCCCATCAACTGGTGCATTTATTTATTGAAAGTCTTGTAACTTCTAAACGGTTTGTCCGATTTTAATGCAATATTCGAAAAATTTGTTCAAAACTAAATAATCTGCAATATTGTCTAATATTATAAGATCCTACAACAAATTCGTATAGTTTAAAATCTCAATTTAGAAATGAAAACAATGTTTATGCATCGGGTACGGAACATTATTGCTTTTATGAACCTGTCAGTTTGATATTTAGATTTAGTTCGTCGAGACCTTACAAATGATACCTCACACGACTAATTTGACGTCACAGCGTTTCGGCTCTTAATTTGATCCATCATACTGCATTTATTTATTAAAACTCTTGTAACTTCTAAACGGTTTGTCTGATTTAAATGCAGTTTTTGGCAAATTTGTGTAAAATTAAATAATCTACAACATTGTTTAATAGCATAAAGGCCTGCAAAAACTCGGTAGAGTCAGTAGAGTCCTTTTTTATATTCTAGGTTGTTTAATAATTTGCTCGTCAGTAGGGTCCTATTTTTTGTCGAAATTAATAGTAAATTTATCGATTTAACAATTTGCTCGTCAGTAGAGTCCTTTTTTCTTCATTGTTGAAATTTAATTTGCTCGTCAGTAGTGTCCTTTTGTAGTATTTTAGGTTTTTAATGAATTTGTTGGTCATTGGAGTCCTTTTTCTATCCTCTAGAAGGCTATTCAGTTTGCTCGTCAGTAGAGTCCTTTCTTTATTTTTTAAACTGCTAATTATTTTGCTCGTCAGTAAAGTCCTTTTTCTATGATCGAGGTCGTCAATTAATTTGCTCGTCAGTAGAGTCCTTTCTTCATTATCTAATTTGATATTTAATTTGCTCGTCAGTATAGTCCTTTTTTAGTATTATAGGTTTTTAATAAATTTGCTCGTCAGTAGAGTCCTTTTTTATCACCTAGAAGGCTATTTAGTTTGCTCGTCAGTAGAGTCTTTTGATCTTTAATTTGCTCGTCAGTAGAGTCCTTTCGTAAATAGCTAAATTTGTCTTTTAGGTTAATATTTAATCTGTTCTACAGTAGAGTCTTATTGTTTCCAGTTAGAGCCCATGTGTCTGATCGCTTCAGATGTATACATCTAAAATTACTACAATTTTAATTTCGGTTTGCTCGCCAGTAGAGTCTATTTAAAACCTATCAATAATCCAGAATTAGTAAGAAACTTAATGGAAATTATTGTTGTAAAATTATTCTCGGTACTATATTTTTATAGAGCTCGTCGAGACCTTTCAAATGATACCCCACACGACTATTTTGACGTGAAACGTTTCGACCCTTATTCGACCCATCATGTGTGTATTTATTTATTAAAAGTATTGTAACTTCTAAACGGTGCGTCCGATTTAAATGCAGTTTTCGACAAATTTGTTCAAAATTAAATTATCTACAACATTGTCTTACATCATAAAGCCCTACAGCAATTCTGTATACTTTAAAAATGGAAATTGTTCTTGTAAAATTGTTCTTGGTACTATATTTTACTTCGGTTTGCTCGTCAGTAGAGTTTATTTAAAATCTGAATAGTAAGAAACTTTTTTCCATCTCACCAGTAACTCTAAGTGCCTCTTCACAATCCCTCTCTGGAAATCCCATAGCAATCAGTTCCCTCATGTGTGCAGCATGCGGTTGAAAATCCCTTGAGGCATGTCCTCTAACCAGCGCCAACAAGAGACCACAATAGTCTACTGGTTTTAGTTTGGACAAAGCTTCCCTAAATTGAAAAACAATAATTAAAAAATAATCCCAAATGATGAACCCAAACTAACTCACTCCGAGTACAACTTTTTGGCCTTCTCGTCCAACGAGTCGACATTAGTAATTAATTAATTAAATGATTCAGAATGAAAATTATTGTTGTGAAATTGTTCTTGGTACTATATTTTTATAGAGCTCGTCGAGACCTTTCAAATGATACCCCACACGACATATTTGACGTCACAACGTTTTGATCCCTTATCTGATCCATCATACTGCGTTTATTTATTAAAGGTCTTGTAACTTCTAAACGGTTCGTCCGACTTAAATGCAATATTCGACAAATTTGTGTAAAATTAAATTATCTACAATATTGTCTAACATAATAAAGCACTACAACAACTCGGTAAAGTCTTTTTTATATTCTAGCTTGTTTAATAATTTGCTCGTCAGTAGGGTTCCATTTTTTTTGTCGAAATTTATCAATTTACTGATTTGCTCGTCAGTAGAGTCCTTTTTTCTTCATTGTTGTTATTTAATTTGCTCGTCAGTAGAGTCCTTTTTTTGACATCTAGGTCGTCAATTAATTTGCTCGTCAGTAAAGTCCTTTTTTCATCTAGGTTTCATTTAGTTTGCTTGTCAAAAGAGTTTTTTTTTGCTGATATGCTCGTCAGTAGAGTTCTTTCTTAGTATTTCAGGTCTCTAATAAATTTGCTTGTCAGTAGAGTCCTTTCTTAGTTTGTTAAATTTGTCTTTTAGATTGATATTTGATCTGTTTTACAGTAGAATCTTATTGTTTCCAGTTAGAGTCCATGTTTCTGATCGCTATAGATGCATACATCTAAAATTACTACAATATTTTACTTCGGTACTATATTTTTATAGAGCTCGTCGAGACCTTTCAAATGATACCCCACACGACCTATTTGGCGCGAAACGTTTCGACCCTTTATTTAATCCATCATACTGCGTTTATTTATTAGAAGTCTTGTAACTTCTAAACGGTTCGTTCGATTTAAATGCAATATTCGACAAATTTGTGTAAAATTAAATTATCTACGACAGGAGTCTTTGAAAACTTACTCCGAGTACAACTTCTTAGCTTCCTCATCCAACGAGTCGACATCGTCGTCTCTTGGACTCACTCCTCCGGTTGTCGTAGTTGCTGCTGCATCCTGTGTAGCTGTTGCTGTATCTGTAGCTGCTGGTGCTGAAGCATCTGTAGTTGTTGTTGATGTCTGACCCTGGAAAACAAAATTATGTCATACCTCCAACCTGGCTACAGTTGGAGTTGGAGTTCGAGTATTTATGATGTATATACCTGTTCCCCGAGTAAAGCCTCCAAAGCCAAGGCAGCATCACCGTTATGTTGCCTTAAAGCCCTAAAACAATATAAACATCACCTCAAATCCTATTTTTTTTAAACCACTAACCAATTTTTTTTACCTGGTGGCAGCTGGTGCACTAAATCCCATATCAACAAGCCCTTGCAAAGATCTCGGATCTGGTCTTCGAGATGAACTCAGTCTCTGGCACAACATTCTGGCCACTCGTGCAGCCGATGGGCCTGCTGATAGGGCCCTTGCCGAATGTTCTGCCAAGGATATTAGAATTTTGCGCATTTCCAGCTGCAGTTCGCTCGTTGCCACCATTTCTTCGATGTTGGCTGCCAGGGGAGGCTTGGGCTGGTTACTCTAAAAAAGATAATAGAAATTGGGGTTTTCGTTCAGGGCGAACCTAGAGATGACTATTTTATGGCCCAAAAGTTTTTTACGAGTCTGTCAGTTTGATATTTGCATTCAGCTCGTCGAGACCTTTCATTTGATACCCCACACGACACATTTGACGCGAAACGTTTTGACCCTTTATTTGATCCATCAACTGGTGCATTTATTTATTGAAAGTGAGGTAACTTCTAAACGATTCATCTGATTTAAAAGCAGTGCTCGACTAATTTGTACAAAATTAAATAATCTAAAACTTTTCTGCTTAACAAAAGTTTCCAAAGCACCTCGGTATACTTTTTTGACAAACAAAACATCTTTTATAAATCGTGTACGGAATCCTATTGCTTTCACGAGTCTGTCAGTATGATATTTGCATTCAGTTCGTCGAGACCTTTCATTTGATACCTCACACGACATATGTGACGTCACATCGTTTTGACCCTTTATTTGACCCATCAACTGATGCATTTATTTATTAAAAGTCATGTAACTTCTAAACGGTTTGTCTAATTTAAATGCAATATTCGACAAATTTGTACAAAATTGAAGAATCTAAAACTTTTCCGCATAACAAAAGTTTCTAGAGCAACTCGGTATACTTTTTTGACAAATAAAACAACTTTCATACATCGTGTCCGGAATCCTATCGCTTTTAGGAGCCTGTTGGTTTGATATTTGAATTCAGTTCGTCGAGACCTTTCATTTGATACCTCACACGACATATTTGACATAAAACGTTTTGATCCTTTATTTGACCCATCAACTGGTGCATTTATTTATTAAAAGTCTTGTAACTTCTAAACGGTTTGTCTGATTTAAATGCGGGTTTCGACAAATTTGTTCAAAATTAAATAATCTATACTTTTTTGCATTACAAAGGTTCCTAGAGCAACTCGGTATACTTTTTGAAAAATAAAACATCTTTTATACATCGTGTTCGGAACCCTATTGCTTTTACGAGCATCATTCTATATATAGTTCAACAACTGGTGCATTTATTTATTATATCTATGTCCCAATTTAATTTGCTCGTCAGTAGAGTCCTTTTATTATAATCAACGACTATATTTAAGTTGCTCGTCAGTAGAGTCCTTTTTCTATATCAAGGTCGATATTTAATTTGCTCGTCAGTAGAGTCCTTTCTTTATCATATAAATTGCTAAAATTAAATTGCTCGTCAGTAGAGTTCTTTCTTTATTTTTCAAGTTGCTAATTTAATTGCTCGTCAGTAGAGTCGTTTCTTTATCACATAAATTGCTAAAATTAATTTCCTCGTCAGTAGAGTCCCTTTTCCATTTTCTAGGTATATATGTAATTTGCTGGTCAGTAGAGTCCTTTCTCCTTACGTGGAGAATCTGATTGCTCGTCAGTAAAGTCCTTCTGTATGTTTGAGATTTGATTTTAATTTTGCTCGTCAGTAGAATCTTTTTTTATTTTTTAAGTTGTTAATTAATATACTCGTCAGTAGAGCCCCTTTTATGTCCTCCAAGTTGCTAATTTAATTGCTCGTCAGTAGAGTCCTTTTCATCTTCTCGATTATTTAACAACCTGCTCGTCAGTAGAGTCCTATTTTTATCTTTCACCACCTCCCAATTCCTCACCTGTATATGAGCAGTAGCCTGTGCAATCTCCTGCTCCTGAGGACCCCTCTGAGAGTCCGCAGTCCTAACCACTTCTTCGCGGGACACGTTCATCAGCGCTTCGTCTCCGTCGAGCACTCCTTCTTGCTCGAGAGATCTGGACTCGCGCAAGGGTTTACGAGTTCTTACCAGGAGTAATCTTTAAAGGGATGTAGATGGTATGATTATTGGGTGTAGGTGGTATGAGTTGGTTAAAATGGTAAATAGTAATGGTATTTTATGGTATTTTGTGGTATTTTGTGGTATTACCTGTATGATACCGATGGGTCTGCATTGAAATGGGCGACTGCCATACTTCGTAGTGTTTCTACGGTTATTACGTGGGGTACCACTGTTTGCCATAGTTGACCGACGTGGCTAGAAAATAGAAAAAGGACTGTACTGACGAGCAAATTAAATATCATTCTAGATTCTAGAGAAAGGACTCTACTGACGAGCGAGTTACTCTAGATTTTAGAAAAAGGACGAGAAAATTGGATATAAAAATGGATGATTAAAAAAAGGACTCTACTGACGAGCAAATTAAATATTGATCTAGAAAATAGAAAAAGGACTCTACTGACAAGCAAATTAAATATCGACCTTGATATAGAAAAAGGACTCTACTGACGCGCAAATTCAAATATTGATCTAGATTATAAAAATTAAATGTAGTCGTAGATAATGAAGAAAGAACTCTACTGACGAGCAAATTGGATTTATTGATGATAAGAAAAGGACTCTACTGACGAGCAAATTAAATATCGACCTAGATTAAAAAAAACGACTCTAGTGACGAGGAACATGAATATCGACTTTGAAGACAAAGAAAGGACTCTACTGACGAGCAAATATGTCAATCTAGTAGTTCAAAAAAGGACTCTACTGACGAACAACTTTAATTAACAATTTCCAAAATAAAGAAAGGACTCTACTGACGAGCAAATTAAAAATCCAAGTTAGATTATAAAAAAGAACTCTACTGACGAGGAAATAGGATATAAAAATTGATGATAAGAAAAGGATTCTACTGACGAGCAAATTCAAAAATTGATCTAGAAAATAGAAAAAGGACTCTACTGACGAGCAAATTAATTTTAGCAGTTTATATGATAAAAAAGGACTCTACTGACGAGCATATTGAAAATAAACATAAATGATCTAACAAGAATACTACTGACGAGCAAATTGAATATAAAAATAGATGAAAAGTGACTTTACTGACAAATAAATTATATATCAACCTATAAAATAGAAAAAGGACTCTGCTGCCGAGCAAATTAATTTTAGCAATTTATATGATAAAAAAGGACTCTACTCACGAGCAAATGAAATATAGTCGTTGATGATTAAAAATAGGACTCTACTGACAAGCAAATTAAAAATCCAAATTAGATGATAAGGAAAGGACTCTACTGACGAGTAAATTATGTCAATCTAGTAGTTTAAAAAAGGACTCTACTGACGGGCAAATCAATTTTAGCAATTTATATGATGAAAAAAGGACTCTACTGACGAGCAAATTAAATTTGGACATAGATGATAAGAAAGGACTCTACTGACGAGCAAGTTGAATATAAAAATAGATGATAAAATGAGGACTCTACTGACGAGCAAATTAAAAATACAAATTAGAAGATAAAAAAGGACTCTACTGACGACCAAATTATAATAAAAACTTAGAAGACAAAAAGAGCACTCTACTGACGAGCAAAATACAATAAATACAGAAATACAAAAATTGAATACAAAAAGGACTTGACCAATTAAATTCATCTTCGTACATGTACATAATTTTAATCGCAATCTAGAACATATAGAACAGCTGTGACTGTTCTAGATTTTTATGCTTGCAAGAATTTCAAGATATTGAGAACACATTTACATTCTAAAATCGTTAGTCGAAGTCGAAAGATAGATGTCGCTCGTGTGCATACGATTGTTAACGAACGACGCACAAGATATTCCGTACTGGGTCTTAAAGTTCGAACAAACTCCGCAGAATTCGTAAAATAATTATTGTTCTTTTAACTTTTTCAAGAACGGAGTTCTATCTTTGCGGATAGAGCTCCAAACACAAAACAAACCATCATATCATATACATTAATAATTACTTGGTACTAATTTTATTATGTCGTGTTATTAAATTAGTACTAGAACATGTTCTAGCGTTGCTACGAATCTGTTCTTGCAAGAACGTCGTTGTAATGTGTTCTAGAATAATAATTGTCGAAATAGTTTGAAGGAGTTTTATATGGTGTAAATGGAGTGAAAATGCTACGGATAGTCTGAAAATATTCTAGACAGTATAAAAACACTTCATTTAGTCTGAATACGTTCTAGATTGTACGAAAATGTTCTAGATACTTCAACAATACACTAGATATTCTAAAATTGTTCTAGATAGTATGAAAATATTCTTAATAGTTTGAAAGGGAGTATTCTTAATAGTCTGAAAATGTTCTAGATAGCCTAAAAATTAGTTCTAGATTATGTTCTAGCGTTGATCGACATGTTCTTTTGAGAACATTGTTATAATGTGTTCTAGAATAGTAATTGTTAAAAAAGATTTTCTGAAATTTATTTTTTTCTGCATTCTAAGAACTAAAAATGTATTCGAAATAGTTGAATTAAAAATATATCTACGTTCAATTATATTAAAGTTCTTACCAGAACTTAATTATAAAACCATTAATAATTAAATTCATTCTAGCTTTTGTTTGCAAGACTATATTTAATTAAACTCAATGAATTTCATTAAATAAATATTTGTTATTTTCAAGAACATTTTGATTTTTTTTTAATGGCACTGGTATTTCTCTAACAAGTATTAGTTGTCATAAACAAAATCGATTTAAGAAGCACTCAAAATTTATATTGTACGTTAATTTGTTCTATCTAGAACATGTAATTTATACTTAACAAAAAGAAGAGATACAGTGCTTTATTTTGTTCTTTAAATTCTACGAAGCCTTTAGTTGCATTCATTTGAAAAACAAAACAAATATTAATGCATTTGTTAATTAAGTTAGTTCAGTTGAAAATTACTCTGCATTTAATTATATCTTAATTTATGTATACATATATATATATTAAGTAAAAGTTTTTTTTTTTTATTTTACGTTTCGACACTCGATGTGTGTCATCCTTAAGCAATTACCAGGTTAAAAGCATGAAACATATATATCTCAATAAAATTAAATTTGTGATTAAATCACATCAGGTGTCGAAACGTATGATAAAGACTATTATTTTTCTGAATTTATGTTTTTATTTCGACGAATGGGCTGTTAAAACTTTTTTTTAAATATGTTTCTACGCCGAAATAACTGTATATATATATATATATATATATATATATATATATATATATATGAATATTTTAAATTATTAAAATGTGTCAATTTATGAATATATCAAACTAGATTTATATGACAGCCGAAAAGCAATTAACTTTCTAATTCTAATATATTCGTACATATATATATATATATATATATATATATATATATATATACTAGCTGACCCGACAGACGTTGTTCTGTACCTACGTCTACAATTTTTCAATATTTTATACTAATATTTACTGCTTAGTTAAAAATAATAATTACTGTTTTTTGAATTACTATTTACACCAATATATAAGTGATGTTGAATGTAGAACTGTTTCAAATAAAATGATTGTTCTCAATTCCCACAGTTAACACTTTAATTATTTATTTAACAAATATTAAAAAATGTTCAATAAAATTGTATATTAAAAATTATACACTGCGATTTATAGAACAAATTTATTTCCAATAGCTCAATTTATTCTGTTGCATTTAAGGGTTATATAGTATTTTTAGCCATACCTGTAGATGTGGATGTATAAATGAATGATTTTTTGTTTATTCACGACTAAAACATTGATTTTCCAAATTATCACACTAAAAATGATCGTCTGCCTTTTTGATTTATGGTCATAGCATAAGATACTCATGTTGAAAATTGAAATCTTTTAAAAAGTACAACAAATTCAGAAAGAATTAATATATAGCATTCGCGGCAAAGGTGCAATATCACCTTTTATTTTTCTCACCCAAAATAATTGCTTCAATAATGTTGCCTATAATTTTTATAATTTTGTACCATATTTTAACTGGCTTTAAGTAATTTTAATATCTAAATTGCATTTTTTTCTCTAATAAATCAATATACATTATTGCTTAAGTTTATATTTGAAGTGAATTAATTTGTCAAATCCTGTTCACATGTGCTCTATTCAACTTACGATCAACAAAATTATTGCTCTGTAAATTTTTTTACTGTGCTCCAATTTACTTGATATTTTGGAAATAGGCTAATCTTCATCTTAATTTCAATGTTTTTAACAATTTGCACTCCGTCACCATCCACAGCATTAATTGGATTATTACTCTTTTAATTCTGATTTTATCAGAACTTGTAATACACTATTTTAAAGGTGATTAAATGAGCTACAACTTTCTCTATCATTAATTTTACCGTAACTTCTCTTATTGTAAAACGGCGAAGGGTTGAAGGGCTCGAAAGACCTCTGGTTGGACAGCTCCTTAATTAATCATACATCTATCAATATTTGTGTAACGAAAAAATAATAAACAATAATAATTAGTCAGAAAAATACCTCGAATTTTCTTATATATATATACTTTTATACGTATTCTTTCAGAGGTATTATGATGAGAAATTGGTTGTTTTTTTTTAAATGTTTTTTTTTTTCATGAAATCATGAGTTTTTTAAGAATCATTTATAATACTAAAGTTGTGGTATTTTCTAGAATCCATCAAGATCTCTTAAACCAAGTTAATTCTAGATTGAATACGATTATTTTTAATTTTGGTGGATATGGCACTCAAAGTATTTGATTTAAATGAAAAAAAAACATTGCTTGCGTCCTTTATCTGCATGATAGCTCACTCATTTTACACGCAGAAGTACTCATTTTAAAGCTTATTTTGAGCACTATAAAAACCCATTTTCATATCTAGCCTAATAATGTTTCTAAAACACTATAAAATAACGATTTATTAAGATTTTAATTGATATAATTCTGTTCATTACATGATTTTCGTTAAAATGTATATTTTTGAAGGTGTTAGCAACAAATGATGAAAAACGCAAAAAAAGAAACAAATATTCAGTAGCCAGTAACTTGAAAAGTATTTCCTTTTTGAAAAACATTATTAAATATTTTTCTCGTATAATTAGTTCTTTTATCGATACCCAACGTTATTTTGAAAAAAGTAAAATTACAGCACTGAAAAGAAATGTCATCCACCCGAGAAGTGGTAAAGGAGTCTAAATTGTTTTCACTTCTGAAGAGTAAGATGAACCTAGTTCCAAAATTCCAAACGAATTGGAAAATAGTAAAAATTTCAGACCCAAAGCGCTCCATTGAGTAAATATTCCGTACCCAATGACAAACATATGAATTTTTGACACAATGAAACTTCTAAATAATTTTTTTTGTATTGTGACTTAGTATAGTAAGGCAAAACGACTGCAAATTGAATATGTTTGAGCGCAATCACTTATGGCTCGCTCCTTTGCGCGAATTCGTACGGCGAATCTGTTCGCAAAGTGCGCAAACAAAATTATTGCAAGCAAAAGCAAACCACGCGCACGTCAGACGCATGCGCAGACTGCATCACTTGTCAAATGCATGTTATATTATTTGCATATTATATTAATTTAATTTTTGGCACATCTCAGCTGCTTTTCGGCAATAATAATGTAGACATTACATTTTCCTTATTCATAATTATGAATTTATTATATTCTAATATTGCCTTAGCCTATAAGTGAATAGAAATGTTTGGCAAATGACAGTCCTCAATTGTTTTTAATGTCAAACTAAGCTTCAAATATTCTCAAGGGCAAACAATGATAAGCGGTTTTTTGTAATTTTTTCTATTTATTTCTACAATCTAACTATATTTCTATGAATCAAAACATTCTAAAAAATTTCCCGAACAAACTTCAGGAAGATTCATGAAAATCCGAATTATAGTTTAGGAGGAAATATGAAACTTACATTGTTACAGAAGAATTTTATATATAAGATATATATATAAATATATATACGTGTATATATAACGAATCCTTTCAACTATTAATAATAATCGACTTGTATATCTAAATATTTTTTTTTGATAAAGTTCCTTTCTAAAAATCAATTAAATCGTTACGAAATCGTTGTAACACCTACAAAATGTTCTTATATTATATTTATATTTATATTTATATTAATATATATATATATATATATATATATATATATATATTATATAAATATATTTATATTTATATTTATATTTATATTTATATTTATGAAACAAATGTTATCAGTTCATTTTTGTATGAAACTTTTGATTTTGAACTATTAAATTATTATAAAAAACTAGTGGTGTATGGCATCGTGCCTTAAGGCAAATTGCTGAATAGATGAAAATAAAAAGGACTCTACTGACAAGCAAACTATATTTTGCATTATATGAACTGACGAGCAAAGAAATAAAATATATTCAAAAAAAAGAGACTCTACTGAATGCAAAAATTGTCATTTTCGATTTTCGGCCCATTACTATAACTACCCTACGGGAAGTTAATAAAATGTTTTTATTAACTTAAGTAAAACTTCTTAGGTAAATAAATAAAAAAAATATTTGTAATAAATTTTAGGTAAATAAATAAGTAAAATTCTTTTGGAAGTAAAACTTTTTAGGTTAGCAAATGAACAAATTTTATCGCAAATAAATAATATGTAATATAATATTTAATTATGAAGTAGAACTTCTTAGGTTGGCGATGTATAAATTAGTAAAATAGAATTTTATTTTTGAAGTAAAACTTCTTGAGTTGCGATGTGATATAGAGTCTGTTTTGATGCGCAAAAGAGACAACAGTATATAGTGAGAAAATCAGAAAGAGAGATATATATAAAACACTAGTGCGAAAGAGAGCAACATATACCTGACAGTGTAGAGTGACAGAGTAAGATATATGTGTACGATGTTGTAACCTCCAAAATTAAGCAACTACTTTTTTAAATGTAAGTTTTTGATAAAAGGACAAGAGATACCAATTTTTGTTGTTAACAAAAGTTGTAGATAATTTAATTGGCTATAAATTTGCTGAATATCGCGAAATGGTGGGACATTTCGTTTTGAAGTTATAAACAAATAAATACAAATCGAGCTGGTCCAAAAGTATGAAGCAAGATATACTGATGCAACCTCCAAAATTTAACAACAACCTGTTTCATTGCAAATTTTGGGTAAAAGGATAAGAGATACAAAATTTTGTTATTAATAAAAGTTGTAGATTATTTAATTGGCTATAACTTTGCTGGATATTGCAAAATAATCGGACAATTTGTTTAGAAGTTATAAACAAATAAATAAAAATCGAGCCGGTCCAAAAGTATAAAACAAGATATATTAAAATGTAGCCTCCTCAATTTAACAACAATCATTTTTGTTCTTATAAATGCCGCCAAGCTAAGCACAGTATAAGTGAAAATGTCGCACAGAATTATTTGCAAATGCGTTTGGACTGTGACTATACGGGAGCACTTTTTTAATTTTGTGCAAATTATAGGCAACTATATTTTTTTCTGAAATTGAATTCGAAATGAAATGACGATTGTTAATGTTCTGGAGATAAATTGATTTATGATTTTTGGTACGAGAAGTTCCAGCAATTTGCCTTAAGGCACGATGCCATACACCACTAGTTTTATTATGGTTTGGAAAGTTTCAGCAATTTACCTTAAGGCACATTTTAAAATTACATTTTTTTTAAATTTTCTAACAATGCTCTTTTAATATCAAAAATGATTTGGATATAAATTTTAATTTTAGATGAATAAACTATAGAAATGTAATTTTGGGTTAAAAATTTAAAAAAACTACCCAGACTAAGCACAGTCTAAGCGAAAACCTGGTACAAATGTTTTCGCAAGTGTGTTTAGACTGTTTCTATACTGGCGCACCTTTCCAATTTTATGTAAATTTTAAAAATGTAGTTTCGAGTTAAAAAAACTTGAAAACATGTGAAAAACCTGCTAAGCACAGTCTAAGTGACAGCTCAGTAGAAAAGTTTTTGCAAATGCGTTTAGACTGTGACTATGCGGGAGCACTTTTTCAATTTTGTGCAAATTATAGGCAACTTTTTTTTTTTTGAAATTGAATTCGAAATGAAATGACGATTGTTAATGTTCTGGAGATAAATTAATTGATTTATGATTTACATTTGATTTGCTCAGGATATAATAAGATAGCAAAAATAATGAAAGTTACAGTATTTGTTGTATAATAATAATATATTTGAAAACGTTTAAAATTTCTCGAATATTTCATTACGGTACGGGAAGTTCCAGCAATTTGCCTTAAGGCACGATACCATACACCACTAGTTTAAATTTCTATTTATCTACCTGATAAGAGTGATTTTGATCGTGTTTTCGTCCTCCGGTGAAGGAGCTGCAGCTTCTGCTGCTCCGTCGCTTCCTGTCCCATTGTTAGCTGCTCCAGCAGCAGCAGCTGCATTTGCTACATTTGAATTCCCTGGAGCAGCTGAAGAGGCGCCGTTGGTTGTTAAAGTGGCTGCTGCTTTGGTCGAAGCCATAGCTGGTAAAAGAGAAAAATTAACCTAAAATTAAAAAAGGGACTCTACTGACGAGCAAAAATAATGCGAAGGAAATTGATAGATATCTTGACAAGAACCTGAGATAATTCGATAATGATTGAAATAATGATTTATTATTATTAATTACTGCTTGCTTATAAATGAATAAATAAACTAGTGGTGTATGGCATCGTGCCTTAAGGCAAATTGCTGGAACTTCCCGTACCGTAATGAAATATATGAGAAATTTTAAACGTTTTACAACAAATACTGTAACTTTCATTATTTTTGCTATCTTATTGTTATATCTGAGCAAATCAAATATAAATTATAAATAAATCAATTAACATTAACAATCGTCATTTCATTTCGAATTTAATTTCAAGAAAAAAAATAGTTGACTAATTTGCACAAAATTAAAAAAGTGCTCCCGTATAGTTACAGTCTAAACGCATATGCAAACAATTCTGTGCGACATTTTCACTTATACTGTGCTTATCTTGGCTGCATTTTCATATTTTTCAATAGTTTTCTCACAAAATTGGAAAAGTGTCCAGTACATAAACAGTCTAAACGCACTCCGGTAAACATTTGTACCAGAGTGGCGCTTAGACTGTGCTTAGCCTGGGTGATTTTTTGAATTTTTAATCCAAAATTACAAAAATATTTTATGGAAAATAAAAAAAGATGTAATTAAAAAAGGGACTCTATTGACGAGAAAGAAATTGATAGATATCTTGGCAAGAGCCTGAAATAATTCGATAATAATTGAAATAATGATTTATTATTATTGAGCCGTTAGCTTGCTTATGAATGAATAAATAAATAAACAAATAGATTGCTAAATACATTTGGAGTTTGTCTTTTTACTTGATCAAAGATATGGACTTTTAAAAAAGGAACACTACTGACGACCAAACTCGTTTTGATTAAATTCTTGAAAAGACGATATGGATTTTAGGCAATTTTGTGAGCTATAGTTTGTTCTTTGGAGGTTTCAAACTATCTAGAACATTTCAAGACTATCTACAAAATTTTTGAGCTATCTAGAACATTTTCAAAAAATGTACAACATTTTAAAACTACCTACAACATTTTCAGATAATCTAAACCATTCTATCTATATTCATACTATCTAAAACCTTTTTTGACCAAAGCATTTTTAGACGATGTAAAACATTTTAAAGCTATTTTGAACATTTTAGAGCTATTTTGAACATTTTTGGACTATCTAGAACATTTTCAAACTTCAAGAATATTTTCAGATTATGTAGCTAGAACATTTTTAGACGAATATACTAATCTAGAAAAATATGTTTGGGTGATCTGAAATATTTTCAGGCTATCTAGAACATTTTCAAAATATCTAAAACATTTTTAGACTATCTAGGACATTTTTAGCCTATATAGAATATTTTTAGACTATTAAGAATACTTTGTTTCAAACTATTAAGAATATTTTCATATTATTTAAGACAATTTTAGAATATCTAGTGCATTGTTGAAGTATCTAGAACATTTTTGTACTATCTAGAACGTATTCAGACTAGCTGAAGTGTTTTCATACTATCTAGAACATTTTCAGACTATCCGTAGCATTTTCGTTCTTATTTACAACATATAAAACTCCTTCAAACTATTTCAACAAATATTATTCTAGAACAGATTACAACGATGTTCTTGAAAGAACAGACTTGTAGCAACGCTAGAACATGTTCTAGTACTAATTTCATTACACGACATAATTAAATTAGTACCAAGTAATTATTAATGTATATGATATGATGGTTTGTTTGTGTTTGGAGTTCTATCCGCAAAGAAAGAACTCCGTTCTTGAAAAAGTTAAAAGAACAATAATTATTTTACGAATTCTGCAGAGTTCTTGCAGAACTTTACGACTCGTACGAACCATCTTGTACTTATTGTGTCTTGTACGTACTGTGCACACATGCGCCATCTCTGATATGCCAACAATATAATATAACATTATTAATTTTTAAATTATTATTATTATTATTTTCATACCTCCGTGTTTTTTTTTTTAATTTTTTGTAATTTTGACCAATTGTTTAAATGTGCATTTTTATGCACCACCAAATTTGGAATTATTTTGAAATCAGCATTTTTACTAATTTTTTTTTTAAATTTTAAATGTCATTTGTGACGTTTTAAAGTCAAACTATATTTTTTTGTTTATACAAAAACTAAAATGTATATTGTGAAAAGAATAATTAACTAGGTGTGAGTGGCATATATATACATGTATATATTGAAGAGACGTTAGTAATAAATTTACTAATTAATAATTAAATGTAACCAATTTTTAATAACTTTTTTGAGTAGATTAGACTTTTATTTGGAATACTTAACGACGAGAATTGGAACATTTGTAGTTCTTCTGGAAGTGTGTGAAATCAACGAATTCATTTAGATACAAAAATTTATTTCGCGCTTTATTATAATATTTTAGTTGTTACTTCTTCAACAGTTCAGGATTAAATAACTTTATATTTTTACATTTTTAAAAATATTTCGAATATTTTTAGTTTTATGATAGCTCGCCGAGGGTACATGAGCTATCGTAAACTTTTATTAAGGGCTGTCTTGCAGATGTACAAAATATTCGCAATATTTACCGTTACTTGGGATTAGACATCGTTCAAATGAATTTACTTATGACTATTATTTATAATTATAAAGATCACAATTTTTAACAATATATATATATATATATATATATATATATATATATATATATACTCTTAATTTATATGCGACGAGTGTGTCGTTCAAGCCCTCACGTACGTTTTCGTTTCAAGAAATCTTTTGTAATTTTGTTTACAAAAATATTCAAATTCACGAAAAAACGTTTGAAGAATTTTAAGTAAAAATGTACATTCTAGAATAATTTATATAAATTATTATTAATAATGATTATTATACTGAAATCCTCTCTTTACTTCCGTCTGTTACCTAGAGTCCATATCTCTGTTTTGTACTGAACATTTTATATGGTCATTAATTAAATAATTTTTTAATATATTCTGTTAATTCAGTGGATAGAGATTAGTTTTTTCATTTTCAGGAAGAGTCCATGTCTCTGATCCTTGCAGAGCATTTAGTATCTTTATTTATCAATTTACTATATGAATAAAGTAGGAAATAACTGATATGAATTAATAACATTGCTGTCCATGTCTCTGATTTCGTAGGTTTTTTTTTCTACTTTATAAATTTCTCACTTAGTCAATAATGTTCATTCGCCTAGAGTCCGTATCTCTGATCAATAAGATTACAAACTAAGAACAATCAAAGTAGAAGTTGACCCAAAAGATAAAAAGGGACTCTACTGATAAGCAAAATAGAAGTCAATCTATCTAGATATAAAAAGGACTCTACTGACAAGCAAATTAAATATTGATGTGATATAAAGAGGACTCTACTGACGAGCAAAATAAATGTCAATCTATCTAGATATGAAAAGGACTCTATTGACGAGCAAAATAAATACAAAAATAGATGATCAAAAGGACTCTACTGACGAGCAAAATATAAGTCGACCTAGAAGTTAAAAAGGACTCTACTGACGAGCAAAATCAAATGTCAATCTATCTAGATATAAAAAGGACTCTACTGACGAGCAAATTAAAAGTAACCCTAGAAGATAAAAAAGGACTCTACTGACGAGCAAAATAAAAGTCAACCTAGAAGATAAAAAAGGACTCTACTGGCAAGCAAAATGAAAGTCAACCTAGAAGATAAAAAAGGACTCTACTGACAAGCAAAATAGAAGTCAATCTATCTAGATATAAAAAGGACTCTACTGACAAGCAAATTAAATATTGATGTGATAGAAAGAGGACTCCACGTTTCCTTTTTATAATCGATTTGAATACCTCACTTCCGATTATTTATGTTTTCTCGTTTTTAACAACTTTATAAAACTCTTGTCTGCATGTGCATGTGCATCTGCATTTATATAATTTGTATATTCGTTGGAGCAGGAAGAGGTGCAGCAGGAGGTGCAGGCGGAGGCACCGCATGTTAAATGTTTATTTAGACAGGAGGTGCGCTCTGAAGAAACGACTACTGCATTACCGATAGGTGTACTGACGAAATATTCTTAGGCTAGAGTTACACACATTAGACAATTGTCATTAAAAAATGAAACTAGCTGTAAGTGGAATTCTGTCTTATGGCAATTAGGGCATCGTGCCTTAAGGCAAATTGCTGGAACTTCCCCTACCAAAAATTATTATTTTTTTAAAAAGATCAACATTATTGAACAAAATTTACTCTTCAGAAATTAGATTTTTGAGGTACTATAAATTTTGACAAAAACTTACATTTTTTTGAAAAAAAAAAGACTTTTTGAAGAAAAATGTATTTTGTTATATTACATTATGTTACACACACACCCATACATACATTTTTTCTGAGGTATGCCTAAAATTAATTAGAGATTAATTTACATTAATTTAGTATAATTGAATGGAAAAAGTTTAAAATGTGGGTGATATCGAATTTAAAAAAATATACAATGACTTGTTCGTGAATATATTTTATGAAACAAAACAATTTGTTCGCGCCATATCAAAGGGTGCAACAAAAAATCATCAATCGCGCCGAATCATACAAATAAATCAAGTCAATCAATATGTTATCAAAACCAATATTGAACTTATTATACATGTAAATACGAATATAATTTGTAATCAACAGAAAATAAATACATAAATTTACCAATTAAAGTGTTTACAACAAATTTGGTCCTTCAAAATTCAATTAAAACAATCAGTAAAAGAACACAATGCGAAATAAAAATTTTCTAGTTCTATTTGCTCGTCAGTAGAGTCCTTTTTATATCTTTTAGGTTGGCATTGATGTTGCTTGTCAGTAGAGTCCTTTTGATAATCTATTTTCCAAGTTAATTTGCTCGTCAGTAAGGTCTTTTTTATATCTAGATAGATTGACGTTTATTTTGCTTGTCAGTAGAGTCC